CCCCAAAACCCCAAAACCCCAAAACCCCTTAAGGTTAGATTAATAAATTGACTGTAAGAATTATAAAATAAACAATAAAATAAAAATGTAGCAAACTTAAAACATCCCAGGTTACACTGGCTTCAAGCCATCAGAGGAGCCATTCATGAGTGCTGCTTACAAGAAGGAGACAGGAGGCAACAAGATCCCAGGTAATCTTAAAGCATAATCAATGTCCTATAGGCTATGCTGGTTATGTTCCAGGTGTTAAATCCGAGAATGTGTTTGGAGAATCATATGGAAAAACTAGTGGACTCTCTGGAAACGGTTAGATCTAAAGAGGATTTGATCAGCCAGCTGATGATAAATTCAAGAGTATGGCTAAAGCCTCATATTCTAATCAAAGAGAACTCTACCAAACCATGCAATAATAAAAGAACAACCCACCACAAAAGGGACCATCAGTTGATGTAAGTTTCATAATAAATTTCATTAGAATAATTGAAAATTCTAATCTAATGTCGTTATGAAATCTTTTGAATTCAGAGTGTCTAATTCTCTTACTTTAGGATATCCCAAGAAACGTTCAAGCTAAATTCTTCGGAATTGAGGAGCATGACCAAGACAGATGGACTCAAAATGAAAAATTCCAACAAGCTGCTTTAACTTTCTATGGTGATGGAAGCAAACTCCAGGAAGTCTACGGCAGAAGAGGAGAGTCTTTCGATCAAGCAGCTGCTAAGTTCTACGGCTCTGATACTGTTGTTAAGCTTCAAGATCCCAACAAGATCACTCTCTCTTATCAAGAGGCTAGATAGGTTGCTTATCAACAACAATGAAGAAGTATCAGCACTTAGATATCAAGCATTATTTAAATTGATGATGAGCAGCAAATGCAAGCAAAGTGCTTTATATATTCATTAAATAGTTTTATATTTAAGCTTAAATTCATATAATGTCAATTTTATAAAGAATTTAACGATACCTAATTAAAAGATCACACAATAGCTTGATGTAGTTTGTGTATATATTCTTCTTCATACTCCAAATCAAATTCTCAGATAATGGAACCTAGGGGTACTCTTTTTAGTCTATTCATATGATTCTGGAGGAAACTAGAAGTCTTTTGATCAACTGGGTCTATTTTCTCCATAGTTTCTTTATTTGACAGCATGTATTACTTTCCAGTCCTAAACTTACATAAGTTTGATTTAATCCTTACTTTTTATTTTGGAATATAATATGCTTAGGATTTTTCTACTATTTCTTCTCAACTTTTTTATTGCGCTTGTCTAGAGTCTTTCTTTTACTATCAATAATTTCCTGATCTTTCTGTTGCTTTTACTTCACCTCTTATTTTTGCTTGATGTCCTAGACTACTTCCATCGGAAGTTCTTAAGCGAATATATCAGCACCTCTAATTGCTACTTCTTTTTAGTGCCTGACTTTCTCCTTCTTAATTGACTTTTACTTCTTCTCTTTCATCTCTCTATATAAAAATTCCAAATTAACATTCTTGTTGTTTAACGTAATGATCAATAGCAATTAATAAGGATACATACTTTAAGGGTACCTTGTCAAATTTAGCTTGAGCTTCCTTCTTATTGAGAATGACTGGAGCATCATCTCCACTTTCATCGTCGAAGTTGCCGTCAAATTCATCTTCTGAGATTATCTCCTCAATCAATTGCTTTTTACCCATTTTATTATCTAATAGAAATATATAATTAACCTTATCTAATTTAGCCTAAGAATCCCTCAAGAGGGGTTTTGGGGTTTTGGGGTTTTGGGG